CTAATTTTAATTATTTCTTTGCACTTTCATGATAATAGCTAGAGTTAGTGATGAGGTAGAAAAATAAAATATAAACAGTTACCTTAAAAAACTTGATATTCATTTAGGAGGTCCAAGAGATTATTTAAATGAAATATGAAACTATAAGATGAAGAAAAGTATTTTTATACTTAAAATGAATATCACCTTGCAATCGATTTATTAAGAGTTTAAGTGCAACTAACTATAATAGATAAATAGCATTTTTAGTCAAAACACTTAATTAAATTTGTGTACAAGATACATATGATGTTTAACAAAATCTTACCAACTGTTAAGAGTGTACATTAAGAAATCTCAGAGTTAACATATGTATTGTTGAACAAGTGAAATTTGCAACATGTTTTGTGAAGATTACATGAACCCGTCCCAAAAAAAGTTAAAAGTTATAGTATGGAAATTGTAACAAGTACAAAATGGTAATGAGGTTGGTCAGTTCGACTGACTTTGTAATGAGAAAGTTAAATGAAAATAATTCTATTATTCACTTCTGTGTTTTTTTGAGATGATGAATATTTGTTTAGTAACATCTATGTCTAACCAATGAATGGATTTCTGTAGGAACAACTTTGTTGAAAAAAGTTGCTTAGATTTCAAAATAAAAATAGGATATGTAAATTTATGTACTAAATCTCATAGAACTTTTGAAAATTAATTTTGAAAGATGTAATGTCAGTTTTGTGTAGTTTATTACTAACTTTGAAAGTAACCGATTGAGTAATACAAACGATATACATAATGTACAAAATTGTGATTGTAAGACTGAATATTTCTTAAAAACCTGAAATTCATTTTATATTTAGTGACTGTATTTAAATTTTGTAGATGAAAATGTGCAACTTGTAATAAAATTGACTATGTTTTGGTATTCAATTACTCCATCGATATATTTTGATTATTACACCAGTTAAAATTTCTTTAGTTTTTGATTCTGCAGCCTAACCTTAAAGGCATATTATACTGCTATTGCGAAATAGTTTTCATTAGTGGCACATAGGTGGGATACTTTTCAGCTGTGCATTTAATTTGCAAATGCTTGTATTCCAACTAAACTAGAAGCTTCATTTCAAACATGTTGCATTTTTTTATTTTTCAGCAAAAGTTTGAATCCAGGGAGTACAAGTCACCGGAAGAATTTGCTTCAGATGTCAGATTAATTTTTACAAATTGTTACAAGTACAATCCACCTGACCATGATGTTGTAGCTATGGCAAGAAAATTGCAGGTAGAATTTTATCTGTTTTGGAGAAGTTTCTAAGAAACAGAAATTGCAAATATACTTCAGATTTATAATAATCCAGTCCTAAAGGGTTACAACTCTGCACATTGTAAGAACTAGATTACATATGAACTAAAACTATGTAAACAGCATAAAAATACTGGTTCATTGTGCTAAAAAGCTTTAACTAAGGAATTATCAATTTTAATGTAGTATAATCAAAGAAAAAATTGGTATTACTTATCATTGGTAATTCCATTGAATGTAAAGATTTCATTAAAGACTTTGAAGAAAAAACAATAAAAACTTGATTTTAGTAATCTTTAGACTAGTCTCTTTTTATTAGTAAGATTAAAGAGTCTCATCAACATTTTCAAGATCTTTTAAGATTTCCTGTAAATAATTACTATGTGTTAATAAACACAGATATTTGTATTATAATGTTAGTCATAAAAGTTATCATTGTTCCAAAATACATGAATTACAAGCTGTTTATTTCTTACATGGCAACACATTTGAACAATTTGGCAAATATGTTTTTTAGCAAATACAAAGAATTCCTCTGTAGCAACTTCAGCTTCAAGTTATCTAACTTAGACATTCAGATAAAGTTATTCCACACAGGATGTGTTTGAAATGAGTTATGCCAAGATGCCAGATGAATCGACTGTAACAGAGCCTGTTGTGGCTACACAAATTGCTAAAAATGAAGAATCCAGTAGTAGCAGCTCCAGTTCATTATCATCTAGTAGCTCTGACAGTGAAAGCAATAATGGTGAAGATGAAAGACAAAAAAAAATTCAAGAGCTACAAGAGCAGGTAAAAAAAAATTGTATACAGGCTTTTAACCACCATGTAACCATGATACCTTAAACATAACTACTATAACTTTTAATGCAATACGTGTATCTAAGCTAAATTTGACAAGCTTTTAGTAAATATTACAGGCCTTTTGTATACAAAAAATCCAAGTTTTAAAATTAAATATAGAAAACAAATTGACAGTTGGTTTGTATGGTAGTTTTTGTTTAATTTTATACTAAGCCATCTTTTTAGTACACTTGTGTGCCTGCATAGTGATTCATTACACATGGCTACTATATCTAATGACTACGTGGGTTGGTAAAGATGGAGAGAAGGACTTCTTTGTAAGTTCTTCAAAATTTTATGTACTGGACAATTTTCCTGCTCATACTTATACAGAAGTATTTCCTTTTTATTTTATAACTTAACTCTTTCAGAACAGGCATCATTTTGTGCACATTTCAGGATGTTTTAATGAATTACATTCAAAATGTAAATAAACTACTTTATTATTATGATATTCTAGTAAAATTGGCATAAAAATGTAGCTAATAATTCAAATTCTAACATTATGTAAGTTTTACGTTCTAAATTTTATAAGGCAATATTTGAAAAAAATCCTCAATTTCCCTTAGTGTGAGAATTTTGAAATTTGCTCTCCAGGTATCCCCCTCTTCTCTAATTTATTTACCACCTCTCCAAAAAGTATGAAATTTAACAAAAATTACTCATTATAATGTTTTCATCACTTAGGCAGAGCATAGTTTTCAGAGCCTTCAATCTTATTTGGTTACAGAGCGATAAAATCGAAAATCAGATTCCATTTGCCTCACCCACTTATCACATCCCCCACCCCCTCACAAATTGCCAGTAGTTCTCTCTGATGTTTAATACTATATTATTTATAACCAATTTAAAGTTAAGGTTTTAACCCATCAAATTACAAATTACATTATGCTGTTTTTCTGTACAGAGAATTCTCTATTTCTCTTCCAATTCAAACTATTCTCTCAAGAAACACATTGATGAGGTTAGCTGAATATTTAACAGCTTTTGTCTCATAATTAGAAAACCGGAAAAATTGTGATAGTTATGGGACATTGTCTGCTTTTGGCAGGTTATTATTCTGTGTTCTTTGGTGCATTATTTAATTGAATAAAAAAATTATTTAGTGCAATAGTACCATTAGTATAAACAAAATAGGGTTAAGTATCATCGACAGTTGAAAGCAAAGAAGAAGAGTGGTAAGTACTTTGTTTCTTGTTTTTCACATGTATTCTTTATTTATTATAAAAGTAACTAAAATGGAAAAATTAGAAACTTTTTACGTTAGATAGGTAAAATATAGAATAATGCTAACAGTTTTTCAGGGGATATGCTCTTGAGCAACTCATGAGTAGCCTATGTGTTACATAAATCTCTAAGGTAATGGGAGCATCATGTTTACCAGTTAGTTTACAAATATTATGGTGGGAATATTAACTTGGGCATGGTTGAAAGGGCAATAAAACAATAAAAATTATGTATAAACAGATGTATACTGTTATTAGTTTAAAGCTATTTAGGGTAAACAAATGTAGTTTCTTGATACAATTTAAAGTTATTCTAGAAAGAAAGAATAACTTAGATTTATTTCAAATTCTGTTTTGGTGGTTGCAAAGTCAGTCAAATTGACAAACCTTGTATATAGAGTTAGGGTTGAGAAAATAACAGATAAAATATAACGTTTTACTGAAAAATAATGTTTTATAATTATGTAGGAGGTTTTAGAGATTACTTTGTACTTGAACTAGTAAACATACTTTGTACTTGAACTAGTAAACAAAACTACTTGATATATTTCAGATAAATCTTTATTGAAAATACTTAATTGAAGATTAATTTTTTGTATACAAAATTCGTGTAATATTTACTGATAGTCTGTCAAATTTTGTGAAGAAACGTGTACTTATTAGAAGTTATAGTGTAGAATCTGTAATGAGTACAAAATGGTTAAGAACTTGATCGATTTTGACTAAGCCAGTGTGGAAAGAGATAAGAGATAACCCTCTTACTGTGGGTAGATCATTGTATGTATGTCACGATCTTTTATGGAGTTACGTTCAAAATTTAAACTACCTTATTATTAATGTATACAAATAAACTTGGGATGAAAACCTAGTTAATAAATCAAATTGTAATGGATTATAAGTTTTATGTTTCTAATTTTATAAAGAAATATTTTAAAAAAATTGTCTCTTCCCTAGTACGAGAATTGTGACATTTGTTCTTTAGGTCTTCTCCCTTTTCTAATATACTCACTACCTCTTTTTAATGTATGGAATTTAATGTAACTTACTCATTATAATATTATTAAGGCAAAGTCTAATTTTTATAGCCTTGAATCTTATTTGTTTATGGAGTTATAAACTAGAAAGTCAGACCCATTTGCTATGCCCACCTGTCACATTATCTCTGTTAGTAGTTTTCTTTGATGTTTTATACTATATTATTTACAACCAAAATAAAGGCAAAGATTTAATCTATCAAATGACATATTACTTACATTATTTTCGTTACAGAGTATTATCTATTTTGTCTTCAGTTTGAAAAGTTTGGATTGACAAGTTTAAGAGAATATTTAACCTTACCATTCCAAGGCTTTTGTATGCAAAATATCAGATTTTTTTTTATTAAGTTATAAGATTATTCTTAATCAATGTTTTTATTGTGCCTTTTTCTTTTCAAATGTTGACTATCCAATATGCAAAGTAATTTTGATTTTAAGGTTGAAAATACTTTTAAAATTTCACTTGTGAAATCTTTATAACCTCCAGATAATTATCACATGTTTCTTAAGAAAAAAAAATATATTTTATCTCCTATTTTCACTAATGAATCTCTGTACGGGTTTGATAGCTCTGACCGACCTCATAACCACCACAAAAAATTAGGAAATAAATATAAATTATGCTTTTTTCATTCTAAAATGACTACAAATTATAACACAAAACCACAAATGTTTAGTCTAAATAACTTAAATCTCATAACATTATACATTTATATATGTTTATTACTTTTATTATATTGACCTTTCAGTCGTGCACTCATCTTACTGTATCCAAGAGTATAAAACTGGCCTTTACAAAGTGATCTATCTTAACTGTGTTTTAGTGGATCAGTATTTTGTAAAATACAGTCACATTTCAGTTATAATACATTACTACTATTTACAAATAAGTTCTTAAACTTATTTTTTTAAAACATAGAAAAGTAAATAAAGAAGTATAACAAACAATTCTATCTTCTAGTTACGAACTTTGTACTTGTTTGCTGCTTACCATAGGTTGCTAAGCCTTATCAAATTTCACATGTGGAGGATGTGAAACAAAATATTTTTTTTTTTTTTAGGTTTTATGTATACATTTTGAAATAACCAAAAATTATAAATTACCATAGCAATACCATAGAATCCCACTATAATTTATCAAGCTTATTAACTAAGCTGTATTTGGGTCTACAAAATATGAAATGTTTTAGCTCCCTAAAGTCTTACCTTACTGCTTGAAATCTAGCATCAGAAGAAAGAATTTGCTGCCCTAATATTTCAAAGATGCTGAGAAAGCCACTAGGGGGATATTCTGAGCTTTTGATTGGTTATTCACACATCATAGGTGTACGTAAGCAATTGTTTCCAAAAATGGAAAGAGGTGGGTGGGACCAATGTGTGTGATTCAATTAAGGTAGCAATATCTCAGCAAATAGAAAAGATATGAGGTTCTTATTTTATATTCTAGCTTGTAAATATTGGTAATTTGAGTTCCTAATTTGTAAGAAACAATAGATGTTATATTTTGACATCAACAACATCTAATTTGAGCCAGTATTGCATTCAACATACCACGTGACACAAAAAAATCAATATTTAGGATTTCTTTTCTAATACTTAATTTTAAATTAAGAAATTAACTGATGTATAGTACTAAGATTTGAATTATAATCTACAATTTGATATCAAAGTCATTGACATACAATCATAAAATAGTAGTTAAATAAAATTTTGAATGCAAGTTAACAAATATGATCACATGGCCTTTGACCCATGACCCGTATAAATAGGGTTAAATGCTCTTATGCCACAATAAGGTAGCCAGATAAATTATCATAATTATAGGATATTGTTTGCTTTGTGTGTATTATTATTCTTTGTTCTTAAGTGCATTATTTAATAAAATAAAAATTATTTAGTGTACTAGTATTATTAGTGTAGAAAAAGTAGGCTTAAATTTCACTGGCAACTGACAGCAAAAAAACGAGGTTACAGGTAAACACTACATTTCATGTTTTTATATATATTCTTTATTTGTTATTATAAAAGTGACTAAAATGTAAAGTTCTGATATGATATCTTACCTTCTGTCACATAAAGCTTTTCTTGTTCATTGCTGCCCTCTATATGCATCAATGTTTTTACTCCACATTTCTATGTGATTCAGCTGCATTGTAGCATGCAATTAAGCATGTGAAAACACCCCACCATTAGGAGCATAACACACACTCTTTTCATAGTTGGCTTCCCATATACTGTAGAACCCAATCTTCACTTCTTGATATGGCACAGTAGTGTTAAGGTGTGTTAAAATTTTTAGTATTTAGACTCCCATCAGTTGGAGTCATTGCTATACGCATGGAATCTGTCATTATACTTTTGTAATGTTTTCTCATGCTCAGTTGTTTTACCAATGTTTGGCCCTTGCCACACTCTTCCATTTCCTATCCTACATTCATTTCCTATCTGTGGTTATCCACAGCTCCCTTTCAGAGTTTGTGGAGGATGCTCTTTCACTTATATTTTACAAGTTGGTGTGTTTATCATCCTCGACCTTTTCTTTTCAAACATGGTTCTTCTGTTTTGGGGATCTCCTGGGTAGGAATGCATTGTTAACTAACACGCATCTACCCATATCCTACTTATCAGACCTACAGATAGTGCTATTTTTACAGAGGTCAATGTTTGGAGTATTATCAAATCATTG